GTTTACAGAGATGCTGTATGAGAAACCAATGTGAGTTTGGAACATTGCACAATATAAATCTATTCTAGTAGACCTCAACAAGGGAATTATGATCAGTGGAAATGGCCATGACATGGGATCTTTAAACAATTGCGTGAGTGTAAGGGTATTTAAATAAATTGGTCAGTAAGTGAGAGATGTGCAACTATATTTAACTTTTTGTTTTACATTTTTTTTTTATAAATGATTATGGGATGTGGCCTTTTTCTCACTTGAGCTCCCGCCCCCCAAAATGTCTGTGCATGTCCCTGGAACCGGATGACTTCGGGGCCCCGCATGTTGCCCCTTTCACACCAACGCGGTTCCAGGGCCGGTTCGGAGCTTGAGCCTGATAAGCACAGTTTTTTCCTGTTCACGCTGCAGCGGAGCCGGCTCTTTTCCCAGAAAACCGGTTCTTACCAAACTCGAAAACATTGTCGGCCTAGTGGCAAAAACCACATGCATCACGCTTACGTCGGAGGGGAGCGAGATTAACCTGAGCTAACAGTTTATGGAGAGTACCGCAAATAAAAGTTGATACAAGCAGTAGCGCTGAGCAAAGTGACTAGAACGCAACCACACACTTTAAAAAAAATCACACTTCATTCAAGTCAGGCAACACTAACCAGGCTTCGTGTGATTCTGTTTATTCGTACCTTACTTTGACCATCCGTTTGCTTTTGTGTCGCTGTGATGCCAAACAGCGTCAATTCAGACTGACACACATTCACTTATGGGGAATTGGGGATATTTATCAGCTGCTTGTGTGACAGTCAGACAGTGAATACTTTACAGCGGCCGCTGCTGTGAGTTAACGGGAGAATAAACTCCAGTGGACGAGCAGCACTGCAGCGGTCGGTAAATGCAGCTGAAACACATTAATAAACAATTAAAAGTATAAGGTTGGAGAAGTAGTTATTTAATTTAATCTGGCTTCGTATGATTAAAAGTAACACGATCATCAACCTGACGCAGTCCCCCATTGTTGTTGTTGTGAGCGAAGCACGGAGCTAGAACGGGAGCTGCATTGGTGTGAAAGGGGCAACAGTCACAGACTATGGCTGTGACTTGTGTGTGACTGACCCGAGCTTGCGCCTCGTCATTCCGAGGTGAAAATCCACAGGTGAAAATTACTTTAGCGACACATTCATTGCAAGAAGTGTAGCAAAAGTCAAGGCAGCAGATTCGTCGATGTATACTGCCACAGAGCAGATTCGTCAAGTTGTAGTGACTGATTTGAGAGGTTGTAATAACCAAGTTGCAGCTGTAATGGAAAATATATTTAAAAAATATATATTTTTCTGCAAGTGAACATTTCATGACGAGGTTCATTTTTTTTGTACAAGCTACAAAACTTTTTTTTTCAAGTGGAAATGTATGTACACAAGCACAGATTTTTTTTTCTGCAAGTGCTCACATCAGGTTTTACAAGCTCTCGCATTTTGCACCATATCTACCTTCATACGTAGCACCCGCCGGCCGGGACTATGGGGCTTAACAGGTTAAAAGTGTACATGAACATAGTAATTGAGTAAATGTACCTGATTACATTCTACCCCTGGTAAAGAGGACACTGACAGTACTAGGGATTGAAAGTACATCATGGATTTAAGAATTATAGCCCATAACAAGGTTGTATAGCTTACACATTCCTCTCTACATTAAGTTGAAGGTTTTCTATATTCTGTTTGTAATGAGAATTCTCAACATGTAATTGCTTTGAAAGTACAAGCATCCCTGTTCTTGAAAGGGCCAGCTGTCTAACCTAATCACACATATGGAACCGAAAAGTTTGCAAGGCAACATGTTTGGAGGGATTACTTTGTGGAGGAAACTTTTTTTAGCTGAGTGATTGGTGAGAAGCAGAGTGTAACAGATGATAAGAGGATAAAACAGAGTTTCTCCATATTTAGAAGACAGATGAATGGCAGAAAAAAGGTTTCTTCTGAAGGGAAAAAAGGTAATCTTACCTGCATTTACTCACAGTAAACGTAATGCCCTCTCTACTTATATTTTCAGCACCTCATAAATTAAGACTAGATCAAGCGACTCTTCAGTGCAAAAATCCATCAGTGATGTCTGGGATAATCATGTGTGTTGGACAGAATGGTGAGCAAACAATAAATCCACAAATTCTAAACCAGCCGATGAATGTCCTGGCCAATGGACAAACGGACTATCAAATATCATACAGTATAAAATACTTTGCTCGAGCACAAACAAGAACCATGAACACAGAAGAACAAAAGCAACAGGGGCATAACAACAAGACTACACATCTAGTGATGATGACAAGAGAAGAATGAAGCGATAAAAGCCAGTGTTAGCAAAATAAACACATTTAAAGGGTGAAAAGGAATGAGAGAAATACATGGAAACACCCCAACTACTAAAGCCAAATGATTTTGGACCCCTGATGAATAACATTCTCACCAGTAGGGCTTTCTAGTCCCGCGGCTGCAGTGTCTCCTCCTCCCCCGAGAGGGGCAGTAGCAGTGGTAGTACTGTTTGCAGTACCAGTGTACTTCTTCCGACCACTGTACTCAGTGCTGCTCTCGTCGTCCAGGACTGTGGTGGCTCCTGACTGGATTCCTGAGTCTGAAGCGTAGTAGGTCTGCTGCCATTCTGCCACCTTCACCACACTGTCCGCCTCCGTCACTGCAGGGAACAACACGTGACTCTCATCAGTACTAATACAACTACTACTCTATTGCTACTTATACTACTGCTACTACTGCTGCTATAGCTAACCTACTAATGGGACGGAATAGCTCAATCTGTAGGGACCCTATCTCTGGAACCAAAGGGTTGGCAAACGACCAAAATATAGAGTGGAGCTGAAGAGGTGCCAGTCCTTGCCGAGGTGTCCTTAAGCAAGGCAGCAAACCCTCACCGCTCTATGACGCCAACCATTGGCAGCCTCTCCACTCTGACACCTCTCCACTCATGCATGAAGTAAAGGTCCTGTTTGTTCATGTGTAGTGTATGTATTATGTAATGAAAATAAAACCAGATAGAAAAATGTAGTTTCGTTGAGAGGATTAATACAATTACATTTAACCTTAATATTACTGCTACTGCTTCAGCTGCCCTACTACTTCTATTACTTTGAGTGGTACTAAAGTGACAGCTACTGCTACAGCCTTGCTACTGCTACAGCAACTACTTCAAGCTCATGCAGGTGTGTGTTGTTAATCTAATTACCACAGTAAACTGTGTGTAAAGCTGTTTTCAATGCATTGAATGTCTCCTGGGTTAAAAACCCATTGTAGCCAACTACAATGGGTTGGTTAATAAGTATAACACTACCAATTACTCTGCATTTTAGCCGGTTGATTAGGATTTGTGGTCGGCATTGAATCACAGTAATGTGCACAATAGAGATATGAAGTGTGAATAAAATATGAACTGTTCTTAAAGTTTTGGTCCTGTTATCATCTGAAAGTAATCAAACCGATTAATATTAAAGAGTCAGAAGTAATCTGTTTTTGCTTTTGATAGGAAATATTATTATTCTGGTTAAACTTTTAAAAATAATGGAAATATTTGGCTGCAGTGGTGACAGAACACTTACTTTGCATGGACATCATCTCCACCCAATGGTACCTTCACTGACTTCTGACCTGCAGAGAAAGAGAGGAAATATTATGTCTGCAAACAGGATCGCCCACAGACTCAAACTAATCCTTCTCTGGAGGATTAAGGCTTTAATCACAATATTCTGCAAATCATGTTAAAGAATTAGTTATTCTCCCATTCCTCCAAGAATTACAACTATATACTTTGCAGTGCATCATGGGGGTAATCGTGCTTTTGCACAGATGAGCTTCCACTCACATGTGCACCATTTCACTTATCATTTCATTTACTTCAAAGTGTACACTTTTGTCTTTAAATACATGTTTTGCACAAAAACTTAAGACAGCTTTTACAAACTAAACTTTACTGTGTATATACACTCTTAAAAATGCTGGGTTATTTCTATAAACACATTGCTGGGTTGATTTGGCTGGGTCATAATTATGGGTTATTTGGGTACTGTAAACACACTGGTGGGTTGTTCATGCTGGGTCAAAGGGGTTATTAGGGCTTCAATTGCAGTTGAACACCTGCCTGGGTTATTTTTAACCCAGAGGTTGCTTTATTCATTTTCCCACTTCTGAATCATTCTGGAATCATCTTTTTCAAAACACAAGGTATGTAACCTATATTTTACCTATATTTATATAATTATACAATTCTGTAACCTATATTTTTTTAATGAGTTGTGATAACAGTTCAATAGGGATCTTTAGGCATTTAACAGACTGTGCAAAGTATAACATTAGCAGTTAACGTCGGCTAAAAATGTTTTACAATGAGTGAAAGAGCCTTGAATTTACGTTGTGATGCGATGAATTATTATTTTACAAAGACGTGTGTTCTACTAGTAGCTATAAATGGGTCTGAACTATAGCTTTGGATTTGTGTGCAAAAGTATTAGATGTACAATAAGGCAGTATAAATCAGATGGCTTTTACGTCACAACTCTCTTTCCCAGCATGCAGCTCGGGCGCGGGCTTTCACACATACGGACAGACAGACGACAAAGAAGCTCATTGATGTAGGTAAGTTTAGGTTACTAGAGTTATTTATTAATTACATTAATCATTAAAGTTAGCTACTATTGAAGTTATTTTTAGGAGTGAGTGACCGGAGTCACCGAACCACATAATGTAACATTTTAGTTCCCTGCCATCGACGTGTTACCATAGGTTAGCTTAGCTTAGCATAGCACACCAACCAGCTAGGTCGTGTCAGGGGCAAATAATAATAATTCGTGAATGATTAAAATGTCTTCATGGAGAGATTTGGCAGACCCCCTGTAGTAACTGTACATTAGTAGCTTGGTACCTTACAATAAATGTTAAAACATTGCACAGTTTTGTGAAAATCTAATGTACTTAATCTGATTTGATTCTAGTAGAGGGTTTCACCATGTACACGTTTGTCACAGAGACGTTGACTGCATGGCAGCTTGAGAACTTGATTGACACATTTAAAGGTAAGTTAATTTTTATTGAGACAATGTTGAGATGTTACTATTAAATATTTTGTTATATATTAAAAAGAGCAAGGTAGGGCTGCAACAAACAACTAATTTGATAATCGATTAATCTATCGATTAATGAAACGATTAATCGACTATTCGGACTATTACTGTATGCCTTGCACAATTTCTCAAATGCTCTTATTTAGCCATCAACTTTTAGATTTAGCTTGAGGTTGTTTTAGGCATGTGGAAACTAACAATGAAGACAATAAATATGAATACTTGATTCAAAAATACATATATTATTAAATTAACTAAACACATTTTGAACAAAATTAACATTGCTTTTAATTTAAATTAAATAAATAATATTTCACATCAAAAGAAACAACAGTGTTTTAACAAATCGTATTAAATAATCTGATGACAGAACTGTAAACAGAATAGCTGAAACTTTAACAAACTAAATAACTCAGTTTCCTCTAATAAATAAAATAGCTTTTGAAAATGTGTGCATCTTAAAGTGCTTAATTTTAGATAAATAAAATAAAGTGTAGCAGCAGCTTGAGAGTCCCTTTTTCTTTGTTAACCGTTTCACATCATGACTTAACAGTTTCAGACGATTATAGAACAATATCAGTCTTTACACATCATAACAATTGAACAGTTTTAAAGTTTCTCTTTCTTTCCCTCTTATATTGCAGTCCCTCACTCACTTTTTTTAAATTCAGTGTGAGAATTGAGCTGGAGCTTGTTCTGCCAGGAGTTTGTAAATCTGGGCTGACATGGAGTCAGGGCCATTCTCATACACATGCAGGTGCTCATCGGTTACAGTGATGCAAACACAGGTATGGTGAAAAAAGAGAGAACTATTCGAAGCAGGAAAAAAACAGCGTAATATACCATCTGACAAAGGCCTGTGCTATAATGCTACAATTAACTGGCTATTTATAATATACTCAGATCAATAGGAGACAGAGATGTTAAGTCATAAATGAGTGAGCCGCATATGAATTATTCTGTGAACATACACTTTCAAACAGATGAGATAAGAAATGTCAGTAAAGTAAATGTACAATGTTGCTGTCCAACACTGGCTATCACACACCTTCAACAACAACCAAGGAGTGCATGCGGTGAACAGCAGAACTCAAATGCACTTTAAAAGCGCATCACAATTCAGTGCATAATTCATGGATTTGAATCGTCATATATTTGTAACAATGATTACTGTCTCATCTCATCGTTCTTTGACAAACTTCTACTGTCTATTTTAACAGGCCATCCACAGACACAAAGAAAGCCCTTGCCGTGGCATTGGTGTATGAATTCCCTTGCCTTTTGGATGGTACAGGCAGTGGCTATGTAAGTTAATCAATCAACACATAAAGGAGAACACTCCATACACACACACCTAAAAGAAATGTGCTCAAACGTTTTTCCTAGTGCACAGTCACACGCACATTTTTGGATTGCTCCTTAAAATCCCATGTAACCATCTTCATGGTTTACGCCAGGCCAATTTAATCTGAATCTAATTTTCTCTTTTACAGGGAGCTTGGTACACACCTGGCCGAAATCACAAACCTGCTACAGGTTTCCTGGAGGAGCGCTTGAGGAACGTCAGGAAGCACATGAGAATGCTGAAACGACCACGCCACCAAGAACAACAGAAGGAACAGACCGTCCCCAGTACACCAGGTAATACTAATAACCAATATTAATTATCCCCGCCAGGCTAGAATAGACAAATGCAAGGGATTATATTTTAGGTGACTCTTCTGTCCATCCATCTTCTAAAAGCTATTCTCAGGCACCGCTGGACCGATTGGCGACTTTTCACACACTCTCCAAGTAGGCCAGAACCCCAAATGTTTGAAATCAGCTATAATGAATCTGAGGACCTCTGTACTTATCATTCAACAGAATATGATGTGCCTCCTGAAAAACTTCTAGAAATGGTTGAATGGATGAAGGTCAATAGGTATCCAGTATCCCAAGTTGAGGACTACATGAATCAAACAGCTCTACATAGAGGCAAGGGGATTTGCAGCAATGGATCTAAAAGCCTCCCGGAAATCTTGACTGAGTTCCCTAGGCTTTTAGACAATCCTGGCATGGTAAGAAATTATTTTGCTATTGCGGTTTTGTCTATTTGAATGATACTCTATTTGTGTTAGGATTTGAGGTAAGGCAGGACCCAAATGCAGATTGAGGAAAAGCGGGTTTCAAAGTGTAACAAAAGGCGAGCTTTAATTACAAAAAGTTGTTGACAATGAAAAAACAAAACAAAACCATGAATCCATAAACAGGTAGCACAAGGTAGCATCCAGCCAAAAACAACAGTGACAAACATGGAGGGTGACAGGAAAGACAATGAACCGACAAGGAACACAGGGGAAGACAAGACTAAATTGTATTGTCATACTGATATTTCGTACAAACTGTGAAGTCCACTGAGACAAATGTAACATTTGTGATATTGGGCTATATAAATAAACATTCATTGATAGATTGATTGATTGATTAAATACAAAGAGGGGTAATCACAGGGCAAGACACAGGGAGGGAATGCAGAAACACAAAGGCAATAGGTGAACACAATCAGACACAGGAGGGAAAACACAGGAAGGAAGCAAAGACACAGGTGAGGAGGGAGGAGAAAACACAGGCACAAGGTGAACACAATTGGGTTATCAGGCAGGAGGGAACACAGAGACAGGAAGCAACAGACAAGACGGGGGGGGGGTGAACACTTTTCAAAATAAAACAGGAAACCAAAAACAGATCTAGACAAGACAAAACACAACACAGACAGATCGTGACAATTTCACTGATACTCTGCAATGCACTACAAGTTTATGTTTAACCACTTAGACCCTACAGTATATACTTTGTAATAATTTACCTGTTGAAGTGGGTAAGGGTAGATAGCCCCCATTGTTCTGTGACCTGTCAGTCATCAAACCGGGAGTCATATTTCATTATGTGTTCATTTTTATCTGAAGTTCTACCCATGGATGTATAAAGAATAGTTCTACTGCAAAGTGGGGACTTCCGGCTACAATCTTGATTCTGATTGGCCAGAAGACTCGAAAAAACATCAGCAAAGATGTTTCATTGAGAAGATGATCACTACGTGACAGAAGTTTTCAAAACCGTTTATGGTCTCCGGTACTTTCAGTCCAACGCCTACTGCATGCACAGTGTTAGAAAATCGGGTCTTCAAAATAAAAGTTTGACTTTTCCCCCCAAAAAATAAAAATAAATGTTTTTTTTTTCACTCACACATCTGCGACCCATTCGAAACGGGTCCGCGACCCACTTTGCCCCCCCCCCCCCCCCCCCCCCCCCCTCCCTGTGAGCACAGTGTGCTCCGATTGGTCCCGTCGGGACGTTGTGAATCGCGCTGAGCTCCGTGGAGGTGTGATTTCCTTGTTTAGCGATACACAGCCAAACTCAACCTGAACACACACAAAGTTACAGCCGAAGTAAAAACAATAAGTGTGGCTTGATATTGAGTAAGAAAAAGGTTGATAAACGCTGTGAGAATGGGTCTGCAGAGAGAATTTCGCCGCGATCCCAACTGTCTATTATCAGCCTGCAGCCAGGGAGGAGAAATCAGCAGAGCTGCCTGCACCGAGTGTGTGAGGAAGTCATGGATTGGTCAATTTGGACCAATCAGCGGGGGCTTAACGTAACGGCTCCGCGGACGTAGTGTAACGGCTCCACGGATTGGCCCATTTGGTTCCAGCTACCGCATGACCGTATCGCGTCATAGTTCTGGGCGTGGCTACTGGGTGCTTCTACGACACAGCACCCAGGAAGTAAAAAATGGACAATGACGTTTCACCAACGAGGCGTTTTGGGGAGGTATTTTCTGTTTTAGAGTTTTACTTGCTACAGGGTGTACTTTGAGGGTTTTGACTCTGCACACCGCTTACATGCATAAAAACCTTCATAACACACAAGGGGACGGGTAATAACCGGAAAAGCATGACATGTCTCCTTTAAAACATGTTTGATTAACTTTTGGTTCACATTTCAATAAATTGTATTTGTATTTGCACTCCTTTCGTCCATTATTCTTACTGAAAATGTTAGATTACACATTCACATCTGACTGAAGATTGGCCCCATTTATTTGTGACGTTGCAAACTCTGCGGTACAAGGCACAAGTGATGTGAAGCTCATAAAGCGAGGCAAATAGAAATAATCAGCTGATGGAGTGTAGATGTGGAAATAGCTGCATTCGATCAGCTGACTGTGTTTTCACAATAAAAGTAGTTTCTTAGTAAATGTCCTGTACTGGTCTTAAAATCTAACAACAGCTTTTAATGTTCCTCTTGGATGTTCTTCTTGACCCTCAGAGAAGGAGAAAATGTCGTGTCTTTCAGGCATGTCCTTTCCTAACAAAAATGACAGGAAACATAAAACATATTATTGCAGAACAAGTGTGTTATTTATGAAAGTGGTGTGTTTGTGTTTTTAGGGGCTGTAGATATAATTATTTTGTAATTGTAATGTTTTTTTTTTATTTCAACAGTGAGCTACAAAGACAATCAGATTATAAATGAACAGTATGAAGTTCATCAACATTGAAATGTTATTATCAAAATAATATTTAACTGTTATCAAAACGTAGTGCAACTGTAGAAGCTTGCTCTGTTGTCTCACTGAAAGAATAACTTTTACCACGTTTTTTACATACAATATTGAGAGATACATAGTAGCAGTTCTCACTATGTGTTAAATATATTTGCCTTCAATACATTACATTAGAAAGCTGACAAAATCATATTGCTTTTTAACATCTAAATGTAACTTTTTGCATGGAAAAAACCCTCAACTTCACTGATGTGTAGGTGATCTAGTATTTAGTATTGTTTAATGGAATGTATATCAGTGTATTCAAGTCAATACTTCATTCATTTAAACCAATATCTTTCTTGATTCTTTGTACAGTAAGAAAATAGTTTTTATACCTGTGCTGAAGTTCACTGCTGTGAGGAGTCCAGTTCTGTCTCTCACTCTCTGGTCCAGCCTGTCTGCATCACCTGGACACCTTAAACAAACAGATATATATGTAAAGTACCATGTGTACAAACAATATAACTGATTATCTTCTGTTGAACATGTTGGATTGTGTATTGTCCGAGTCAGGGTCCTTTTTATTTTACTGTAACTTTGGAAGTTGTGTTACCAATGCTTACTGTTTATTTGATACCCATTTGGTAATGCAATTAATCAAAACAACAAGGTTTGGGTTCGTTCTTCAGATGACTGTGACGTTAACGTGTAAGCTCAATAATGAACTCCAGCTCAACCAACCATATTGTAATATCCAAGTAATCATCTTGAAATATGACATTAATAATTGTAATATACACACATCTTATTGTGAGGTTGATTTCACATACACTACTTCGACATTAGCTTGTCTACATACTTGAGCATAGCCAATTTAAATTAACCTTAGCGATACATACAGTTCCTACCTACATAATAAAATATCTCTAAGTTACAAGGATGACCTTATTTTATCAACTTCAAACAGAAGCCGTTTGTTCTACAGTAGTATCCCACTTAACGTTTAACACTTGTCTATTTCGTTTTAACCTTTATATATACAGTCTATGATTTTAACTTGGCGGCTACGATTAGCATCGTTAGCACCGATGTAGCTACCACTAGCTTACACGCTAACCCTAACATTAATTACGTAGCTGATTAAAATAATTAACACATAAATAAGTACTCGATTTTCACTTACCGCAAAACCGCATTCATGCACCGTCTGTTTCAACCGCAGAGCGAGTCACAATAGTCCGATATATAAGCATGAAGAACAAACAAACACGGCCGGTTTCAAGTTGTGTTTCCTGGATGAGCTGAGCAGGCAAAGTCCCTGTAGCTAGCTTCACGGAGCAGCTGGCAGCAGGGGCGGTTCTAGGGGGGGGGCAGTTTTCCCCTAACACTGACCTCTGACCCCCCTGTGGCCCCCCTAAAAATGAAAAGTGAAAAAAATGTATGATTTATTACACGATTTATTGAATGACGGAATAGGCGGAACTAACGTTATTTGTCATTCTAGTCGGACCCATTAGAGCGGTGCACTCACTTTCACTGTCCGCCTGAAGCGCGCGAAAAACAAACACTTTTCATCTCGGATCATCAGAGGCTGTTGCATCCAAGAAAGACTGATTGAAACCTACGTTTCGAGAGACTACCACGATAATTGAAGTTATAGTTAAACTATTGTATCCGTGTAATTGTAGATATAAAGTAGAGATTTAACTGTTCATTGCCTTTATTTTTATATAAATATGATATGGTGTTAGTGCAAAAATTGTACTATAACTTAAGCTGAAGCTAACAGTAATAACTATAAGATATATCTGAAATAAATAAGTGTACTAAAACAAATACCAATAACTGTATTGCATTGTTTTCTTATACGCAATTACTTCATACTGTCTAGTTCTCTTTTTCGTCCTGCATTTATTGTGCACCCCTCAGAAAATAACTGGCCCCCAAGTGGCCCCCCCAGTCAAATTGGTCTAGAACCGCCACTGGCTAGCAGAGAGCCAAGAAGCTAACAGCAGCAGTCACTTGACAGAGCCGTCACTCAATGTGACCACGCCCTAATTTCTGCAAAGACTTTAAGACCTAATATAAATAAAAGGGTCGTGTTAGAAAACAATTCACTCACAGATCCATAATCATGAAGGTGGAATCTAACTATATCCATAATAATATTTATTGCATCCAGGGGTAGAACCATGTTTTTTCTGCTGTAAAGGTGGGCATTTTAACATGGGGGTCTATGGAAATTGCTCCTTTCTGCAGTCAGTCCCTATCGGCCAATATATGAACTGCAGTGTGTGGCACTTCCGTATTGGCGTCCCGGCTCTTCCCCAGAGTTTGCCGCTTGACACAGACACATTGGATTAACCTATGGATTAACTTCAGCAGCGTTTGTATCGTTTTAATGCCATTGAAGACCACTTTTGACCAGACAACGACCAAGGTAGGCCATGTTGCCGGTTTTA